AAGTTTTGTGAGTTAAAAACTCGAAAGGAGAAAATATTCAAAGTAGAAATTTTTCATATAATGAAACTAGTTCATAGTTTTTCTTTTTACTTGTAAAATAAACATTTCTAAAAATAAATGTATTTTGTGATTATTTTTCGGTGTTTGTCTTTTTAGTGCCTTCTTTTGCCTTTTTTTCGATTTCTAGTACCTTTTTCTGCCTATTTCGATATATTATTTTGCCTTTTTTTTAAAGGGTTTTAGGTCCTCAAAATCCGTTCGCTGCTTTTTAATGCTCAAAGTCAAAAAATTATGGTTAAACGGTTAACGGCCTTTATCCACATACTGCAGAAATTCCTGTACCAATATTTGAAGTACAACTCGAGGTTTCATGGATTAAAATACCGATATACACTGACACTAGCATTGAAAATGAAGATGAGGAAGCAGGGCCGGATTTAAGCACAGGCTACATAGGAAAGTCAATCAAGACATATTTAGTTCGTTTTTTGCCCTAATCGAAGGGTATTCACATTGTAGTATAACGTAATAAAGGTACTAAAAAGCTGATTAAGTAAGCAGAAGAAATCGCGTCGTTTCAAATCAATATAACAGGGCAATTCTGGCAAACTGTCTTGCAACTCACCACACTCTTTCGAAAGACAAAAGTTTTTCGTAAGACAATTGTCAATTAGGGCAACTATCTTGAAAGCTCTTTACTGCCTTTCGAAAGACTGATTGCAAGATCTGCTAACAAAAGGTCTTAGTGTTACGCTTTTAGATGACATTAAAAAAAATTATATGTTACCGGCCAAACCCGATCTTAGAGCAAACTAGTTTTGCCTAGGCCTAACTAGATCAGTGGCCGCAGTATTTTTGCGTAGAACACCTTTCCGCGTAGGCGGCCTTTGGCCGCGCTTCAAAATAACCCTCATCAGTTCAACTCCAGCTACGCAGTCCACAATATTGCTGCGTCCAACTTATTTTCGCGTTGGACGGATGTATCGGATCTAGGTAGAAATAGTTAACCCTAGGAAAACAGGTTTGTCCTAAGATCGGGTTTGGCCGGTAACATATGTATATATTTTTTCTTTTTAAAACAATAAAATCTAAAAGTTTAACCAGAAAACGAAAAAAATTAAATCAAAAGAGAAAATTAATATAAACAAATTATCGAAATCGAAAAATCAAAAGAAAATTAATTTAAAAAAGAAAAACAAATTAAGTTAAAAAATAAGCGATAAATAAATAATTTTCTAAAAATCGAGTCCTAGAATACTCTCGAAATGGTCTAGAAGTATCCCCAAAATGGTCCGCAAATAGTCGTGTACTAGCTAGTCCCGAAAAGGTTCGGAATTGATCCCAAAGTACTGCGGAAATGCTCCCAAACTAGTCCAGAAATGGTAGCGAAACGGTCCCGAAATGATTCCCGAAATGGTCCAAAACTAGCCCAAAAAATGTTCATTTATACACCAAAAACAAGCTTATGTGAATCTACCTTTGACTTTCAAAATTTAAGAAAATTTTAGGTTTATGAATACACAAATATCTTCATAAACATTTTTTTATAATGACGCCTTATTCGAATGCCTCAAGTTATGATTTTTCGGCATTTAATTGCAGGACATTCCAAGGGGTACTTTGCACACATTTTTAATACACAAAAAAACATTTGTTTAAACTTACGAAAATTATTATTCCGCTGGCGGTGATACATTTCCAAAGTGCAACGCCGTTGGACCAGACGATGAAGTATGACCTGGTATTTGGAGTGAAAACTGCGCTCAGACTCAGTAGACGGACGGCGATCGCGATGACTATCTGCGGATGGCGAAAAAAAAGAAAAGAAACGATTTAGAATATTGCAAACGCTTCGAAAATCCAACAGCAGTTTATACCAAAACTCTGATGATTCAGCTGCGTCCAAACATCTGCGTCGGTGAGACGCGAATAACGCGCAGGATCGTAGTTACCGCGATAGATAATTTGCTGGCTCTGCTCAACCACGGCGTTGGGCAGCACACATGGACTGGAGCCCGCTGGATGTAAACTCTGCGGGCTGCGCGAGTGCACTCTTTCACGACTGCGTTCCTCACTCTGAAATGTGAGAATTTTGATTGCATCTTGAAGTATGCATATATTCTCCAAGCGATTACCTTTGCGCGTATATTCTCCAGTCGCGTTTTGTAGTGACGCCCCCGTTCGCCGCCATGATAGCGTTCTTCCGAACGAAAACGTTTATCCATTTTCTTGTAGAGCCGCTGCGTAGTTTTCGCGGTAACCGGAGAGTCTGCAAAGTCTGAAGGAGGCTTAACAATATCCTGTTCATGTTCGTTCTCAATATATGGCAGCGATTCGACTGAGTCGCCTGCTAAAGCGCTAATAACCGTCGGCTGACCCTCCGTACCCTTGCCGCAGTGCAAACAATGTGCATGCGGTTCCTGCGTTGGACCATCTGCCTCGCTGTAGAACACCGAATCGGAACCGGGCGAGACAGAACGCAATGACTCAATAGACTTTGCCTTCAATTGACACACTTCCGAGGACGATTTGGTGGTTTTCGTTGTTGTGGGCGATGTAATGATCTTACTTGTCTTACACTCGACAACTGGCAACTCCTCGCGCTCTTCCTTTTTAAGCTTAACGCTATAGTCTATCAACTTTTCGGTGCTACCCGCTGATGGTGGTATACCGTACAAATTGGCTAGATTCTTTTGTCGTTTGGGCGTGCTATCATCACGCGAACTCCGTCGCAATTGACGACGTATCTTCGGACGGAAACGTTTAATGCGATTCGGACTTGCGGCGTCGACAATAGCGTGCGGTGTGTCGCTGGTTCTGGATTGCCTTTCGGACGGCAGCTTATCCTTTGTGGCGGCTGTAGGTGTGGTATGCGCGCCGGCTGCTGCAGCTGCCGGTTTCTTAATTGGGCTGGTAAGCGCGCGTAAATTCTCCTTTTCAATGTCCAGTTTCATAGTGGTCTTGCGGCGCTTGCGCTCCTCGTCGAGTCGATGACGACGTGACTTTATCACATGTTCGTCGTCGTGCGGACTCTCGTAGTAGCCGGAGGACGAGTAGCGCACTTCACTGCGTTCATCCTCCGATATGGACTCGGGTTTGATGCGTGGCTTCTCGCGACTTATGGTGGCTGTTGGCTCATTCGATGAGGATTGCAGAACGTCTGTGGTTGTTGGCGACTTGCTGAGCGATTTTTCAGCTAATTCTAGACGCTTCTCAGCATCCTTTGCCGAGGGTGAAGGTGTCGCGAGCCCAGCAACATTGTAGCTGCCCGAGGAAGTGCTGCTGATGGAATGCGAAGGTGAACGCTTAGTCAGCTCAGCCGTGGGCAGAGGAGACTTCAGCTGCATGTCACGTTCGACCTTGTGCGGCTTAGTGGGCTTTTCATCGTGCTGTAGCATATCCTCTGAGAGTATTTCGCCGCGCGTAGAGTAGAGCGATGAGGCACTCTCGAAGGATGAACCTTGGGTGCGGTCGATTTGTGAACTTTGTGTAGAAACTGTAGGAGAAAAGAGAGGGGAAAAGGGGAAAAAATATATGAAGATTAAAATCGCCGACAACTGCGCTAGGCTACTCTATAAGCGAGCGTTGAACTAAGCTGAGCTAGGAAGCATTACACAGTCATAGGAGTGTAGGTAGGTATTTTATTTTTTTTGTACAGAAGCGTTCATCAAGCAACAACAACAAATACCATATGAAAATACTTTAATAGCATACACGTTATCAGCTAAGGACGTACACAACAACACACACAAAAATATGTTCTATTATGATACAGAAGGAAGCGTGAGTGTTAAAAGGAAAGGCGAATACAGCTAAAAAGCCTAACCGCTTGCTTGCGTCTTTGTGTGTGAGTGTGTGCAACAAAAACTGTGTGTGTCGCTAAGTGCATACACATATAAGCGGGTACAAATGAGTCAGAGGATTATGTGTGGATTGGTTATTTATGTAATCTTTTAATGATGGATTGACAGCCACTGAAAGATGGATGGATAATGACTAGGTAGCTAGTTTTTCGGATGCTGATTTGTTGATGAAGGATGGATGGTTGGCTGTTGCTAGTGGATGGCTAAGGTTACTGAGGTGTGTTGGGTTTTGACACGACAATTGGTAAGATGCCTAGCTGGATGATTGCTCGTTTTTTTTCATTTTGTGGAGCTTAAGCAGCAAGGCACACTAATCTATTGATAATTGACTGTTTTTGGGTGTTCTATGTATTTTTGTAGACACTTGGCGCCATCAAACCTGGTACTTGTGTTGTCGATGATGAGCTTGTTGTTGTTGTTGGTGGTGTCTTAATACCTGGCGTGCGCTTCGATGTATCGGTGCAAGTGGCATATTCATCTGTATTTGTGCTGCACTCTGAGACATCGGTGTGGTTATTTGTAAATTTGACGTCTGCGTTTGTGATGGCACGCGTCGACTGCACATCAGAGCTGCGTCGCCCATCGCGTGCTGCTGAGGGTGGTAGTTCCTGTACGATGCGTTTGCTAGTGCCAGGCGATTTCTTAGGTGTGATTTCCTTGGTCACCGACAGACTCGGCGTGACCGCAATGGAAGGTGTTGGGAGCTTCGATGGCACCGTGAGTGTGGTCCTCTTGGGCTCGCGACTTGCCTGTGGCTGCTGCGTGATGGGTGCGACACTCTTAACTGGCTTGGGCATGGTTGGCAGTGTGCTCACCGCAATGCCGTAAGTGGGACTCTATAATTGAAAGGAATTCAGAAAACAATACATAATGCGCTTTGACTAAACGATGGTGAAACTTCTCTCGATTTGTTTCTAGTTCGTTTTTTGTTGCACAAAATTTGCAAATATTAATAATGATGTTTTCTCTTTCATTTTGGCTTGGTCTTTATACTTACATATATTTGTCTTTATCTTTTTCTCTATCCTTACTTCTCTTTATTTTCATCTTTACCTGTATCTACTCGTATATCTAATTCAGTACTTTATTCTTATCTTTGTCTTTATTTTTATGTCATCTTTGTCCTTATTTTTAACTTTATCTGTCTTTATCTTTATGTTTATGTTCACGGTTATCTTCACCTTCACCTTTATCTTCATCTTCATCTTCATCTTCATCTTCATCTTCATCTTCTTCTTCATCTTCATCTTCATCTTCATCTTCATCTTCATCTTCATCTTCATCTTCATCTTCATCTTCATCTTCATCTTCACCTTCATCTTCATCTTCATCTTCATCTTCATTTCATCTTCATCTTCATCTTCATCTTCATCTTCATCTTCATCTTCACCTTCATCTTCATTTCATCTTCATCTTCATCTTCATCTTCAACTTCATCTTCATCGTCATCTTCATCTTCATGTTCATCATCATCTTCATCTTCATATTCATCTTCATCTTTATATTTATCTTTATCATTAACCCTATCTCTATTTCTATTTCTATCTATATCTATACCTATACCTATATCTCTATCTCTATCTCTATCTCTATCTCTATCTCTATCTCTA